TCTAAATAGAGTCATAATTTATGATGGAGCCTTGGGTGAAGATAGTAAAGCAGCAATCGAAGGATATGCCGACTCTTATGCAGGTTGTATTGATTCTAGAAAATATATTTCTGGATATATGTTCACTATGTTTAAGACAGCAACCAGTTGGGAAACAACACTTCAGAAGGTCGTTGTATTATCAACCATTGAAGCAGAATATATTGCCCCAACTGAAGTTGTGAAGGAAGCATTGTGGCTTGAAGTTTTTGCAAAGGAGTTAAAACTTCAAGGTTGAGTTATCACTGTTAAATGTGATAGTCAAAGTGCAATACACCAGTCGAACAATTCAACCTATCGTGAGCGAACCAAGCACATTGATGTGAGACTGCATTTCGTCAGAGGGGTAATTGAGTGTGGAGAAGTCCAAGTGCTAAAGATTTCGACAGATCATAATGTTGTTGATATGATCACCAAGACGTTGCCCAGTTGCATGTTTTTCCACTGTATACAGTTGATAAAGCTGCATGAAGAAAGCTAGTTCCTTGATGTCATAGAGTTATATCCATGGTGGAGATTTGTGAGATGGTGGATCGAACTCTAGTATGGTCGAAGGGTAGCTTCTGGTTCGACATGTATTAAGCATGATGTCAAAGTCTGTTTGCATGCTGTTGCGGAGTAATGCGTGTTATAGTCGAAGTTTGTTCTTACATGCATTAGTCAATATTGCTAGGTTTGTTAGCATGTTGAATTGGGCCTTGCTTGTAATATCAATTGTTTAAGTTAGCTTGTACCCTAAGCCATCTTGTAATGGGTAATTGTTAAAAAGTCCATTAAGTTAGTGTGCTGTTTTTTTTATAAATAGGACGCTAGTTCTCAATCTTGGTATAAGAAAAAATAGAAAGATAAAATCCTAATTTCAAGAGAGAGAGGTTATTTTATTATTCTTGTATACTTGTAATCTTGTTCTAAGAGTAAGGAAGGAATAGCCGTTTATAACCAATCCTTGTTGTTCCTTGTTGTTTTACCTTGTTATCTTTGTTAATCCTAACCCTTGTGTGTTTCTTGATCATAAAGAAACTGTTTATATTTTGTTTCAAGACATCCGATTCACAACAATATATATATATATATATATATATATATATATATATATATATATATATATATATATATATATATATATATATATATATATATATATATATATATATATATATATATATATATATATATATATATATATATATATATATATATATATATATGTATAGAAAATGTTAATTTTTTATCCTCCAAAGTTAAAAGTTTCATGATATTATACATTACCTAACTTATATGATATTTAGATTCATGCTCAAAAGTTGCAACAATTCAGCAGGAATAAGAAGCCTGAATTTAGCAACATGTAAAAAAAAACAGGATCTTGCAGAAACTGAGCCTAAAAAAACATCTATTTCTCGATTTAGGTCGTGCCTTGATACATATGTAGGAACAACAGATGTGATGGAATGTGGTATTCGTGATATACCTATGGAGGAAGGTATTTTTGGGTTTTCTTATACCGAAACAATTGCTAAAGAGGATATGGATCATATTTTTTATCATGATGTATTAGGCATCGGTGTTATCAATTCATACATCAAGTACTCCGATCAACTTTATTTAATTAATTGAACAATTTATTTGCTCATTTCAATGAATAGTCTAATGTTAATTATGTTTTTATTTAAGGTTCTTGTATGACAAATTGATTCACCCACGTCAATTGGCAGAAAGATTCTCTTTCTTATCTCCCAACTGTATCTACGCACGGTTAATCGATCAAACTCCAAATCCAATCAAAGAGTACTTAGTCGGTACATTTATGACCAACAAAGATACATAAAAGTTGTTTCTTTTACCTAATAATATTGGGCTAGATTTTTATTCTAACTTCATTTATTATAATTTCCGTTTTTAACGTTGTGTAGAAAATTTTCATCTAAACTTTTATTTTATTTTACAGTAGACACTGAGTGTTTGTTGCGATTAATCCTTTAAGAGAAATATTATATTATCTGGATTCGTTAGATGATGATCAAATAAAATACCCAAATATGAAGAAGATGGTTGATATGTAAGTAAAATTATTTTAAATATTCGTGTGTATACTTATTTATTTATGTTAGATTATTCTAAATATTTGTTTATATTTTGTTAGAGCTATATACAAATATTCCGATCACAAAGAAAAGCTTGAGCACCAAAGAGTAAAGCAAACAACATTACATGGATCAGAGTGCATGTACATTTTTCACAATTTTGATTATAATAGTGATGCTACTTGATAAAATAAGTTAAACTATATATACTGATATGTATTCGTATTTTTTTATATGTGTAGTGTTCTCATCAGTTTAATGGTATAGATTGCAGTTATTTCATATTGAGGTTTATGAAAGAAACTATTCTTTTGGATCAAATAGAGATTCCAAACATGGTATGGATTTATATGTTATGATTTATTTTAATATTTAACAGATATTTCATCGAATTAATTAGTTTTAACTAAATCATATTATGTTATATTATGCAGTACTTTGATGAATTCAAGTGTGCTACTTACTCGAAAGATTAACTGAAAAAAAATTAAGGAGGAATGGTGTCAATACATCCTTGAGATGAGAATTATATAAGGTATTGTCTTTCTTTGTTTTATGTGAAATTTATGGTCGTTAGAGATTTTTGTTGTTGTGATGTTCTGTATTGAATTGGAATAGTTCTGGAAGTTGTTGTGAATTAAGGATTGATGGAATTTGTAATTATGTTTGGTGAATCTTTAGAAGTTAAAGGTTTTGAAAGTAGATTTGTTGTTATTAGAATGATGGATTTTTTAATTTTGAAGAAAATTGATTATTAATGGTATATAGCATTTACAAATTTTGATAAAAACATTATTTTTTTGGTGTATGAGGTTTGTGTTGAATTATAATGGTTATAAGGTTTATGTGTTGGATTATAATGGTTATAAGGTTTATTTGTTGAATTATAATGATTATAAGATTATAAGGTTTATGTATTGAATTAAAGATTTATGTTGAATTATAAAGGTTTGTGATAAACTTTGATAAAAATATGATTTTCATGATGTATAGTTGTATATAGCAATATATATAAGGTTTGTGTTGAATTATAATGGTTATAAAGTTTATGTGTTATATAGCTTGGTTTTGATGCCTTTTAATTTGTTGGTTTTGTTTCATATAGGTGCAAAAGATAGAGATAACAAGTTACTAAAAGTTGTTGATATGTTCAGAAGACAACTTCATAGTTTTTTAGCTAGAGTTGGTATATATATATATATATATATATATATATATATATATATATATATATATATATATATATATATATATATATATATATATATATATATATATATATATATATATATATATATATATATATATATATATATATATATATATATATATATATATATCAAAACTATCTGCTATAACAGTTTCATGTTGTGTCATGCTTCTAAAAAATATGCTGTCATTTTATTAAAAAATAAGACTTATGCAAACGCTTTACCAAAAACACACTACCATACATGCACAATAGACTACTCTTTTAACAAAAAAATGTTTTCTAAATGAGACATTAGATACCGCTTTTTAAAAAAGCGCTGCCTAAGTGGAGAATATAAAGCAGTTTGTAACAAAAAGCGCTGCCTATAGTGGAGAATATAAAGCGCTTTTAAAGAAAGTGTTGCCTAAAAGAGACCTAAAAGAGAACTAAAAGATATATTAGACATCGATGTCTAAAGGGGGACAATAGAAAGCGTTTTTCAAGAAAAAAGCGCTGCATAAAGGTGACAATAAAAAACGCGTTTAAAAAGAAGCGATGTCTAAAGGAGACGTAAGGCAGCGATTTTACATTTAAAAAAAGCGTTGTCTTTATCTACAACAGCGCCAGTATAGGTAGCGCTTTTAAGTGTTGTCTATGCCAAAAAAACGTTGTTTTTTTCCTTATATGACGTAATGATTCAAACCAAATTTTCATTTGAAATTTTTATGTTTTGTAAATTTTTTTTACATAAAATTATATTACACTATAAAAATCATTTAGAAAAAATAAAACAAACGGGCTCATAACCTTTCAAATCGGCAACCCAAAGTTGTGGCGTTTTGAAATAGTCACGTCAATAAAAACTTGAAGGAATATGATAGTGGTTGTTTCTGCACCTATCCCAATGTACGTATTAGTGACGTGGTTTTCACATAGCAAAGTTGTGCCGTGTTTCTCACATGGCAAAGTTGTAACGTAATTTTTACATCGCTAATTTATAATTTGTGTTATCATATTATTTTTTGTGACGTAAAAATCATGTGACTAATAATTTGTGTTATCATATTATTTTTTGTGACGTAAAAATCATGTGACTAATGAATATTTTTTTGTAGTAAAAACTATCTTACTACAATTATTAAATCGGAGGTTTTTTTCATAAAAAATTAGTTTCTAATTAAATAATAAAAACAAATTAAGTTTATCAGTGATTAAAATAATCAAACATTTCACAATCTTTTATTTATCACTATTTTGATAATTGTGTCTAATCTCTAATCTCAAAATATCTAATCTAAGAAAATTTAACTATTCATTATAAAATTATTTATAGGCAAAAATTTAGAAGAAAGATACATTAACTTGGAGATAAAAATTGGTCTTGAATAGAGAAAAGCCTTCAAACATTGCTCGTGAAACCCTTACAGCAGCCAAACTCTCTAAAATCAGACAATCTCATTGAAAATTCTGAAAGTTGCTATTTAAAGAAATCCAAACAGCTTCAGAAATCGCATAACAGTTTAAATGTATCGTCTAGCGATTGCAAAAACATATCAGAATCGTGAAACGACGTAAAGAGATCACGCAGAGATTTCATAAAATCGCACATCTATTGGTCCTAATTCCCAGATGATGATTTTTCCAGCAACTTTTAAGACAAGTTTTAGTTATAGCTTAGCCTAATCTTAGTTCCCTGCTATTCTGAGAGCCAGTTCTTGAAGCTCAGTCAAATCATTATTTTTCTTAGAATAAGCTTGCAACGAGAAAGTGAAAGCTTCTCTGTTGCTTTGTATGTCTAGCATGCTCATTCCATCACTGATGCTGCAGCAGCTATAATCAATTGACTCAAGCGAACTCTTAGGAGATTTAGGGTTCATGTTTGTGATTAATTGTGGTCTAGCAACATTTACTGACCACAGATTCTCCATGTTCTTTGACTCCTCCAGGTTTTGACTCAGCTGTGCCTTCACTTGCATCAGTTGTGCTTGCAAGCTTGCTACCTGTGGTGTTAAACTGTTAGGTTTGAAAGATCAGTAGTATAACTGTTGTGTTAAACTGTTAGGTTTGAAAGTGTACCTGTTGCTGCAAAGCAAAAATATTAGAGACACAGCCATAAACAGGATCTATAATACGAGCTTGAGCTTCATAAGCTATTGTAACAACAGCATCATAACGATCTTGAGGAGGTATATGCAATAGCATCTTGGAAACGTTGCTAGCACCAAACACTTTATGAATGGCTGCAAATCTATCAGGTCCTTGTTCACAGCAAAAATAAGGTGCAAATATGCATTCAGATGTACATTTTCTACGAAGGAATTTGCATGCTCCACATGGAGATCCTGAGGAGCTAGTGCTAGAGCCAAAGGCATTTGTAGAAGCCATAAATTTATTTTGTTTTACTTTATTTTCTAGCTATACTCTAGAGGGAGAAAGAGAAAGCGTGTGTTTTATAAAGGTGAAACCAAAGCGTGTTAATAATTTTGTGTTCGTGTATATTGTGTGTGAAACTAGAAAGTGGTGCAAAAATTGGAAAGAGATTGAGATGGAAGGGATGTTGGACATTGGAATTATAAGGGACAGGGAGTGAGTTAAGTGTCTTATGAGAAATGTGAATAGGAGACATGGTAGGCACATGTGTATGGTTCTAAGGGGACATTTGTTAATGGGACTGGTTTTTCAATTAGCAAAGGGACAAATACGTGTATCGTTACAACCTAATAAAACAAAAATGTTTCATCAACACTGAATTTTCTTAATATCTACACGTCGTTAATTTTATTATAAGGAGGATTTTGAAAAAATAATTAAATTACAAATCTTTTTATAATATCAATTATCATGGGTTGCCGAATTATCTAAGGCGAATGGTCCATAAACAAAAATGAAGGAACAAACACAAAATAGTTGTTACTACGCTCTCACTCAAAGAAGATAATTCGGCCATTGCATCATTTATCATTTAGATCAATCGGACGAATGTTTGTATAACGCACATCGTTTCATATGGGTGTTTTAACTGCTCTCAGTATTTAAAGAGAAAAATTTGGCATTCTATTCAAATCATTTTTACTCTCATTCACTTTGATTTTTTCAGTGTTTAAGTGCTAACGTTGCAGATCCACTCCCACACGACCGTAAAGGAAGTTCAGTGGCACCGTCTATAGGAATCAACTCCTTATTCTTATGAATTTCCACGAAAACTACAATCTTTTCCTCACAGATCCAGATCTTAGATTTCAATCGTTGTAATGTCGGCATACTTCGTTGAAGCTCGATAACACTCTCCTTAAGACTATGGAAACATCAAGAAATAATTGATCTACAAAAGTTGTCGCAACTGCCGCTACTACCATAGCTCAACCACTTCCTCAAGAAATTGAAAATCCAGTCCTCGTGACCTCTCCATCTTATCCAATGCCACAAGATATGGCTCCTTCAAGAGTCCTCCAAGGAGAAGTCCAAGGCGATCCATTAAATCATCCTCCCCTGGCACCCCTGACAACTAGACAAGAGGCACATCCCATCCTTTCACCTATTGCAACTCAGTCTAGGCATGCAAGGAGCGGTTGGCGCGGTTGAATAACATGTATAACCTGGTTCATCACATAATTCTCAGGTCTTGGATGCTAAGATCTTGAAAATTGAAGAGAAAAATCTATTTGCTCCTTCAAGAAACATTATGGTATGATGACGCCCTTTCATAGACAGTCGACCGACATTATATAGTCGGTCCTGGCTAGAAAGATCACATCACATGAAGAAGCTCCATGTTCCCCATGCACATACCAATTCGAGAGGCACAAAACCCTTCCCTACAATTTTGAGGGAAGAAATGGGAATCATGTCCCAATCAATATTTACCATCCTCGAAAAGGGAAATGTTCGAAGCAGACGCACCGACTCCGAAGAGAAAAAGGAACTCGCTATCTATGCATATACTTGACAACACGATACAAAGATCTTTGGAAAATTCTTCAAAATTGTCTAACTACAACAAGACTGGGGATCCCGACATGCATGTTTAGCAAGTATGTGGATAACCGGCTAGACTACTTTTAAGCCGACGAAGTATCAAACTGCAAACTATTTGCACTAACCGTATTGAAGCTACTATGAAATGGTTCAATACCCTCCCTCACGGGAGCATTAACTCTTGGAAAGGCATGTGTGACGCCTTCACTACCATGTTCACCGCTTGCAAGTGGCAACCAACAACCACGACGATCCTCAACGAGATAACACGGGGAAGGAAGGAGAACTTATGTGGATACATATACTGATTCAAGAAGGTTAAACTAGCGGTCTGAGGCACATGTTAATGGCCTAAGATCGGTCAGCATATTCTAAAAAAAATTAGGGCTCGAGGGGGCTTATAGTTTGAGCGATCTACTAAATATGGCACAACTTCAATGAATTGGGAAAAAGATATCTTAGCTTAGGGAAGTAAGAAAAATTAGGGGGGAAAGTGTCGACTATAAAAAGGTCTAGAGATGGACAATAATTGTCGAATGGATGGCAAAGGGTGAGGATCTCGATTAAGGGATCCATTCTACACTCCTTTAAACACTTTAAGGGAGAAGATCTAGAAGAAATTCACCAACACTAATTTCAAAGAAAGGGGGACACGAATCCCTTCCTAATCAAAGAATATCCAAGGACGAATAGATCTAAATAGTATTAGCTTTATAAGAGTTGTGACTATAACACAAATGATTTCTTTTAGCTAAAGGAAGCAACCAAAGAATCAATTAAAAAGGTCGTTTGACTAAGTATACCAGTGAAGTAGGTAGAGGAGATAGTCGAGAAATGATAATGGAGTTTGAGGTTCGTAGGGAATCCTTGAGGCAAAAAAATCCCCTCGAAGGGAGACGTTATCCCCTAAGAAAATTATCGAAGTTGTGACCAAGAGCTACCAAGAAGAAAGCTACTGGCGAAGCCATTCCTACTATCACATCACTTTGATTCTCTTAATGACTTCTGTGTTGGAGTGCTAACCTTGCAGACCCACCCCATGTTGTCGTACCAAAAGTCCAATGCACCTATTCATGATCCATGGCAGTATTTCAACAACAGTTTAGGTTCCAAACAAGAATACCAATAAATTATTAATATTATATTTTCTATTATATCATTAATAGAGGATAATTTTATAAAACCCTTTATAATTTTTCTCTTTTTATACAACAATGATTATATTTCTTAATGTGTAAAAGTATTAAATAATTTATAATTTTATGGTAATGTTAACTTGTGTCCTAAAGATACATGTTAAGAAATCTATAAATAGAAAGATCGGGTTAAATATAAAAATTTGTTTTGAAAATTATGTATTAATTTAAATTAAAAGTTTATAATTAATATTCTCATTTTTTATTCGACACAAATTTTTCATTTACAGTTTCTTGACATGTTTCCTTAGGGTATAAATTAGTATTATCTATAATTTTATAATAAAATAATTAATTAAGTTGAATATATGATTAATTTAAACTACTTTGTAAATAATAAAACTTTGATTAATAATACAGTTAAATTGATCACAACTTTAACTATAAAAAAGCTATTGAGGGACTCACTAATCGATAAAATGATAAGTACCTTTTATTGTAAAAAATATTTTATTGATGTCCTTACATTAAGTGATCCATTTTGGAGGAGATCAAGGGAGATATATGATTTATTTACATGACTTCAAAATATAAGAAAACAATATTTATGAGTTGGACATTTCAAAAATTAATATCATGACGAGTAAGTTGAGAAATTTGAGAAAGTTTAGTAAGAGGTGTTTTTTTTTTTTTTTTTAATTTGTGATCAATTTAACAAAACTGATTTATAAAGTGAAGATTGTCTTTATTTATAAATATATATATATTTATATTATATTATTTTATGTGAAAATTTTAATACACACCTGACTTTCAACACTATTGAGTTTGATATCTTAATATAAAAATGATAGGTAAATTTAATAGCGATGATGCAATAAATCTTGAACGAGACGTATAAACTATCTTACATTTTAATTTTAGTTTAACTCATCTCTATCAAACTATCTTTATAATGTGAAAAGTGTTATTATATTAACTATTTTTAGACTCTATCTTTTAACTAATATAAGACTTGCATTTTTTACAATTTATTTATATTATTAGTTGTTAGATCTATAAATTGGTTGGGGTTGTTTCTTCTTTTTCTCAATGTTAGTTATTTTTTACGCCTTCAATATTATTGGGCTCACGTTATATAATCTTTTTAACTTTATGATTTTTAAACTTTGTAATAAGTGTGTTTTTTTCCTGCTTAACACTATTGTTTTGACATACTTATTAACTTATTTAGACAACTAATAACATGAAAACACCTTAATTTATGATCTATCTGAATATTTTCCTAGAGATATGCATTGATAATGTTTTATTATGTTTTGATTATCATAGGTTAATGAATTGTGAAGCATTAAGGAAATAATTAATTGTCAATCCAAATGGGGAAAAGGATCCAAAACATGAAGACCAAAGTGAAGCCAAATTCATTAGGCAAATTAGAAGGAAATATCTTACACATTCAAAATCAATTTATTACGCGAATGGATCCTCGGCTAACAAAGTCAGAACATAAGCTTTAAGTTGAAAACAAGGTAAATTCTTTGGGAGAATGATAGTTCAATCATCAAATTTAAGGCGCTTTAGAAGGATGTTTGATGATTATTTGGTGCAAAGAAATCGAAAAGATTGATTTCGCTAGGAGAATTACAACTCGTCCGGCGAATGAGAAAGAAACTTAAAACCTAAAAATATGAGGTCTTGGCCATTGTATTTGATATAATTTTTAAGTTAGTTTTCATATTTCAATTATAATATTAATTAGAGATATCTTGAGTGTAATATCGAAGGACTATTGAAATAGGGAAGCTGAAAATTAGAAAAAGGTCTGAAAATGAATATGCTTCTACACCTTCTATCTTGTTACCATTATCATGATTAGTTACGTTCTCTTCTGTTGGGGTTTAGTTTGTATATGATGTGATCATAGAATTAGGCTCAATTTAACTAACCAAACATATTTTATTTTTCATTTTATTCTAATGTCTTTTATATTTGTATCATGCTTGTGAGTCTATGTAATGCCAATAGGTTCTCTTAGGTTTAGACTAATGATAATGCCTAGAATGGTTTTTTTTTTCTTTTTTCATTTATAACATTATTTGTGGATCTTTGTGATGTTGAGAGATGTATTTTTAGGTTTATACCTAGGTAATTATCTATAAAAACTATTCTCTAGATTTATTCACATATAGTATTAAAACATAATAGTTTCATGTTATTTATTAGGCTAAAAAATCCTCTAATAAAAAATATAATTAAAATCACAACGTTATT